ATTGGTCTAGCTCGTATATCTGCACAACTGAAAAGGGAGAATATTGTGAAAGTCGATCGGGAAGTCTTGAAGGTCCAAATTCTATGCATTAAACAATAAAAATAGCCCACAAGTAATGTTTACAGTCGGAGAAATGAGCCTGTCGCCGAGACTCCACTTCTCGCCAAGCTAGATCTTATTGCGTGTATATTTATCACTTAATAACTATCGTCTCGTGAATTCGCTGTCTTTTCGGCTTGTGAAATACTTTCGATACTCTTGCCGCCCAGGATTAGTCATCTTGCCGATTCCGATAGGAGCGAACACGGAAGAAATGACCTAATACATGTAACTGGCCGGTGCAGTCAACTGCTGCGACCCCTATACACCTTGAACTCCTACCAGCATCTTCATGCCCGTAGTCCAAGCTCCTCTAGTTCGCGCTTGCGCTGAATGCAGGCGACTCAAGTAAGGCGACTCTGATACTTTTGGTTGGGGACAAAGGCTGACCATCAAGTCGAGACTGAAATGCGACAAGAACGTACCTTGCAGCGCTTGCGTTCGAAGAGGGTGTCCTTCTATTTGCCCAGAGGGAAAGTTGGTCGCTGGGAGAGGGACAAGGCTCGTCTTGATTCAATGTGCTGCCGTGATAGGACGCTTGAACTCAATTTAATTCTAGATTTATTCTCAGTAATACAAAAGAATTGCACCATGAGATTGAGATGCTACAAGCTCGGATCAAGGAGCTAGAAGCGGCGCTAGCGGATCTTCAATCCAAAGTCACTTCCGAACCTCACCCCCTCCTCGCACAATCTTTACAGAAAGCCACTGAAGGCCTAAAGTCGGATAGTGAAGCATCAAAGGATACTGGGTCTGACGAAGAAGAGCTCGTTGACACTTTCGGATCTTTAACACTCGACACCGCGGGAGAAACCGTCTGGTACGCCAACCACAAATCCACATGACGGGTCTTAATCTCTAAACATAGGTATGGTCCACATGCTGGATCCGAGTTCTTTATTCCTGTAAGTCTATTTTTGACCTCTGAGTAGGTTCCTTTGTTCATCCTCCTCAGAGAAACGAGAGCAATGTCAATATAGAGGCTCAACTGGGACTTCCCATCGATTTGCTTCTTTTGAGCAGACAATTCCCTTTCAAAAACGTACACGAAGCTGAAGACAGTTTTCGTAAATTTATCAGAAGCAATCTCCCCAGCAAAGAGGTCGCATTCGATTGCGTTATCGGTCTTCACTCTCAGCTATCTTGGGCGTAAGTGAGCTATACCTTAGCTCTGTTGTCTATTTGACAACTCCTATATAGTACACCGTCTGTCGTATGGGAGGATGTTCGTCACAACATCTTCGATCCGATCTATACCGCAGGGAATGTAGCAAATGATCAACAAGTGGCGATCCTCTTCATTACTATGGCTCTTGCTGTTCTCGCAGATCCAAAGCGCCCAATGTATCACCCAGATTCTCACCGCTACTATCACTTATCACGAGCTTCTATGTCATTGGGCGAGGTTCGTCCACTCATTCCGTACATTTGTTTCAAACTTACACTATTCACAGGATGTATTCCAGTCCCATTCGCTGTTTGCTATACAATATCTGGTAAACTAAACATATAAGCTAAACTCCTAACTCTGACGAACTCCACAGCAACTGCTTGCAGTATTCAATGGCATGATAAACGATTCGAACGGTGCAAACAGAGCATGGGGTGCCTTGAGCCTGGCCATCAGAATCGCTCAAATGGTTCGTACTGCATGTCCTTTATATTCATACTGACGATCCTTTAAGGCTGGTCTTCGTGAGATTGAACACACATATATAGTCATTCGGATCATTGACATAGCTTTTTTAGACCGAGATAACGAACAATGGAACAAATACCCGGAACAAGCCGAACGTCGAAGGCGGGTCTGGTGGGATCTAGTTTCGTTCGAGACTGGATTCGGGTTTGCCTTGGGCCGCCCAAGGGCGATTCATCCAAAGTCAGTGGTGATCAAACACACAAGTAAGAACTAACAATGGGTTTAGACATTACGATACTAAAATGCCAAA